CCAATGGTCACGTTGGACCATGCACCCGAAGAAAGTCGCCCTGGAAACTCCATAGCAAGTGAACCATTCCGACAACTAACTGGCTGGCGGTTATTGTGCGATTGACAGTTTATGTTTCGCTCCACATGTTGATGATGAGAGTGAGAATATCTATATTACCAGTTGTTCATCAGTCATACTGAATTTACCTCCGCTTATGAAAACGCAGGTATTATGCGGATTGAAGGCGAAAGTTCAGAGTTGCCTACTAGAAGTGGAATTGTACATGACCAATATTTTGGGTATACTAAGAAGAAGCTACTGCCAACCGTGCTGATACGTCAGGATCTTAGTATGTTACATGGAAAGGGATCTATGCAATGCGACAATTGTTTATTTTAGGAGCACCTAATGGCTGTCCCCGAGACGTACGATGGAAATCATTAACAAATAGCTTATGGCCACAGTAGCGTACACAGCGGTATGTGCAAACGGTTGAGTATTTGGATAACAGCCATGCTACGTCTTGGACATTTGCGAATCATTGTGAACACCCTTTTGAAAGCCGCATACTTGACAGTGGGCAGTGGGACTTAGGTGATGTGATACTGCGGTTGTTGTCGTGCCAACGAGGCCGTAAGCGGCGAATATGTGTTATTGCTACCTGTTGATGCTTGAGGTTGCGTGAAACACGTTTTTCTGAGAATCCGCAAGTACCTCGGGCAGCAGATGATCGGACCGGTCGGCGATACAGAGAGCCTGAAGTCAATACCCATCACATTCGTACGCTGTGCGACTCCCCCGCCAGCTACGCATACCAGATTGTGCATATGGTAGGCAACACTTAAGTGCAGGCTATTTTACGGTATCACTTGTTGATTTATCATTCTACCTGGTAACCCTACTGATGGCAGTTGCTTCACAACCCCTGTATCGTTTTCGTGCAAATATTTATACCACAGATTTAAGGCTGTCATTTATGTCCCCGTCTAAATGTTAATGAAAGCACCAACAGTTCGTCTTGGTTACTTATTCGCACGCATGCGAAGATGACTTTTAACCTGACTCCAAACGAAACTCATGCACGTTCCTGTGGTCTGATGTGTCTCTATCCAGTTTGTGGCAGTTCCTACTTAAGTTTGGGCATACGCATATGCATATGTTGTATACGAACTGCCATTGGACACGGATGACAACAATCCATGTTTATACGCATACCGAATGAATTCGACGAGGATACTTGTCCGGGAGAAATTAAGATTTTCCTAGAAATCCATTATTTCTGCGATAATCGATTGTCAACCATTATCGCATTGATTTCGAAAGTTATGGAGTGATCTAAGATCTGCATGTGACCACCAACCTTCGTGCAGATCGGCCAAATCTATGAGGAACAAATAACCTCGTTGTCTGACCCAATTCATGAGGCTACCTATAAACATGACCACCGTCTACTGCCTTTGTACGGCTTCTGTTTGCCTGCGGTTAACACGTTACCTTGGCTAAGGTCGTTCTAACTTTTTCGCTGCGACCTAGTCACAGCAACGTTACCCCGCAAAACCTAGTGGGCAATAAATAGTTTAGTGTCATTTTATGGCATGATTCCCGGCTATCTTTCTGTCTTCGCAGTTTTATTCCATTCTGTGCAAATGTGATATTGCATTTGTTTAAATGTGTCAGAAGCCAGATACGCGGCACGAACAGTATTTTCGAATCCGTACGCCATGGAGTCTGATTTCCGGAGAAGCTTTCTTAGGCGTTCTTTCGATAGTTTTGATGAGTTTAATGTTTTGTTTTCAGACTTCATGCTTCTTCATTACGTCAATTTCGTATGCTACAGCAGCAGAAAGTGCAACGTGTCCCGGGTGAATTAAGACAGGGTCATTTATCGATGTGTCCGCCGCGCACATTGCAAGTCAACAAGTACAGGAAGCAGACGTGCTTAGTAGGATTTTGCTTCTAGTATTATGAAACTTTCAGCTGACGTGATATTAACTGCAAAGCTCGGTTAACCTCATTAGAACGGGACGCAGCTGAAAGGCACAACCTTCGGTCTGTCTCACAATCACCCAGTTAACCGCTTTCTTTTTGAGCGACACCCCATCAGTCGCCGTCTGACAGGCGATGAGTTTTTTTAGTGATGAGATTACCGCCGATCCGAGTACAGGTCAACAAACCGTAACCCATCATATTGCACGTGCACTTGGTACTAGTGATCTTTTTTCTTTCATTCATCGATAGTTTGTCGAAAGGGAACCGTCGAATCCCCTCAACCAGAGGTATTATGCAGAATGGGGTGCCAAAGTAAGGTATTTTGTGCAATTTAAACTCCTATTTTTACTTTATTTTAGGGGTAACATGGATGCTAGCCCAGTAAATAAAACGCTGAGAAGGAAAATACTTGTTCAGATAAAAACTCATTCAATTACCCGGCAGTAGGCTACACGTTCGCACTACTATTACATTTCAGCCGATCAATACGACTTTGTGTAATGATACCCTCCATGGGACTTGCGCGTCCAAGGCACGAATATACTGAACAACTCTGAACCTTTTCTCGCTGCTTTCTGTTAAATACAATGCACCATTGTTATTGCGGTTTCTGAGCTGCTTTGTAATTAAGGCGTTTTTAACAATTAACCGGACTAGCGGCACCTTGGCTGCCAGTGTAATAGAACCCAGGTGGGTTATCATAGCACACGGCTACAAGGCTCGCGCTCGTTGTATGTAGGCTCCATTAGTGGCACATTTATTACTGAGGTAAGTGGACCCAAGTGCCTAGTAATGTCACTTGACTCCGAGGATTGTGCTTGTAGTATAAATGCTCCGACAGCAGCGCACTCATGATATATGGGGAGATATCCTCAGATAAAGCACACTGTTTGACTAAAAGTCATACTAATTTAGTTTCGTTTGGACGAGGTTTGGTCATTCACAATCATTTAGGGTCTGGCTCTAGGGCTACTACATTGCGTAATTACAATTAGTAGGTAGTTTTCAGCTTCCTGTTCGCAATATTTTACCCATGAAACTTTCGTTTCTGAATTTCAGGTGCTTTGGAAAATATTTTGGGTGACAAAAATGTCGTCCATAAGGTGTACATTTGGACTGCTGAGGGCCAAAATCTGGTCATTTAGGGCGTTACAACATTCACATGACGGCACACGGTTTCCCTGCTCTCGCGGAGGGGATGAATATTTCGTCAACGTTGCGCAGTAATCGATTACAGACTTGTAAGTACTTAATACCACAGTGACGAATTATTCGTCACTCATGGTGTTCAAAATATCACTTGTGCTGACAGAAAGTACGGTTAAAAGGAAGGATTTTACTCAACAAACAGCGCCGATAATGATTTAGAACATTAGGTAACAACATCCATGGACATATAAAGACATTTATCTTCATCTTCTTTTGCTTTTCAGCCGGTGGCCAAAAGCACGCTTCAGTGGAAGGGCTCGCTGTCCATATGTATGGATAAACTGATAATTCATGGGTACCATAATTCTGCATAAGTTTATTATGATATCACAAAATCTTCTCTTAAATAAGCCACTTACATCCCTGGTAGCACATGTCCAGGTCCTGTCCAGTTTGGCATCCTAAACGTTCCTATGACAGCATTAGGCTAAACTGGACAGGAAGTATTACCGTGAGACGGCTAAAAAGGGTTCCTGTCCAGTTTAGGTTGGACCAATGAAGATGATGCTAGCGTTGACCAATAGAAATTCACCACTACGTGTGACAATCCGGCTGATCCAGATCCCGTCATTGCCTCCCATGGGTATCCGAATACGGCAACACACTTGAACGCACTATGCGCCTAACGAATATATGGACGGCTCGGACCTAGCGTTCACCCGGTACCTGTTGCGGTAGTTGCTGGACTTGGGAACCCACCTAGGCGGCGACTCAAAGCTGTTGGTCAGAAAAGGAAACCGCTCTTACCGCGCACCTGACATCACAAGACGAAAGAAAATTAAAACCTAGGTATAGGAATGCTATATATACATGAAGGGGTGCAGTACAAAGGACGTTAGGAGCCGAAAGCGGCATAGTCAATATTGTTAATCCGCTTCCGCGAGTGTCAAAGTAGGAGGCTAAAGATGTGCCTAAGGAAGCAGGGGACTCACCTCATTCGCACTGCATACTTTAGTTTGCTCAACCGGCGGTCTTTTGTGCCGTGCAGAATGCAACCACGTTTTGATGTGCCGTGTAATGTCAGCATCCGAGGCTGCATCACCCATGCGCTGCCGAATGATGCCTTGGTAGTTTTTATGGATTACTGCATTTCAACCTACCTTGTACAAGGCCGTTCATATTTGTTCGCCTGAATGCAAACGAACCTCTAGCGCCGGAGTAATTGATCTCCGCGGCAACTGCTCTTGTCATTAGCAGCTCCATGGTACCCCGGACGATGAGTTGCACGTTATCACCGTGAACAGCACGTAAATGGTTGACCTAAACTAGTTAAATAATAAGGCGAACTTACGACTCTGATTTTGAAATCGGGGTCCTTCAGCCGTTCATCATATCTCTTTAGCACACTGAGAGAGATGAATGGCAGAGATAGTCCCGGCGCAAGACTTTGGGATTGTCGTTGTAGCATTTGCAACATCGCTTCGGACATGCGGCGATGGCCGACCAATTCTAATCGAATGAGACACAACTCATCTAAAAATAAGGTTGAGTGCAATGCAATACATCTGTGGCGTCTTATATTTTGTGGCCTGCAGTTCCTGCAGCACATCCCGATTGCATGGTGCGACGTCAGCAACAACCGGGGGCGCGATCACTGTTCAATAGGGGCAGTATGAAATCGATACTTACGGTTGCTTGTTGATGGCCCTGGACGAGATGGACTAATGCCACTGAACAAAGAGGAGGGCGCACGTGCGTATGTTGCTGCAGAAGGCCTTTTGGGTTTGCTTGGACGCGCGGCATCCTCGTCATCGGAGCTAGAACGGACGGACGGGCTGGCGTCTAAGGGGAAATAAAAACACCATACTCACATCGCGCGCTTAGCTGGAAGGCCCATGGGAATTGTATCCTGTCGATGGCAGCATCCCGCGCTCAGATTGCTGTTCCATTTCTCGGGCATGCTGGAAGCTAACTAACGAGGTGGGTTACTATAAGAGAAATACTTACTCGTGCTAACGATTATGGACACGGCCGTGCTGACCACATCGACATCCGGCGCGGTGTGATTTTTCACCGCAGCATAGTAGTGCGTACCCCGCACTGAAGGTATTTGAGCGTACGAACCTTCTTCTCTAAACCAAGTGTTACTGACAATAGTTATTATATCCTCGGAGTCAAGGAGTTCGACAACGCTGTATCCTTGAAAAGCCATCATTGCTGAAAAAGAAAGACGTTAGTAGTTAAAGTGTATATCTGTAAGGCATACGGTAGATTACAAGGAAATCGTTCAAGGGTAAAGCAATGCACTTAAATAGAATATGACAGACAGAGAAGCTACATACCTCAGTTGACAATTGCGATGCACGGAATATGTACGCCGTTGAGGAATCCATGCTATGCGTGAACAGACTACGGAGATTCATAAATTCCCGGCATTACACGACAATGTTCCCGGACACATTCACAGACACATGTGTCAGTGCTCTGGGTTTGGCATCGATGATGACCACGTTATCCGGCTTCCCAGTGGAAAACAAAATGCCGTGCAAACAAAACGCCTTCTGACCCTTATATGTGCACATCGCTACATTTCCAACCTCTTCGTAGCTGAATCCTGATGCCATTCTTTTCGCTGCACGGTAAATGGTGCTACGAGACGGAACCTGTGCAGTTAATTGATAACTTCGTCGACGTGACATGCTGAAAAAGAACACCTACGTATCAAAAAGTTTTAACCGAAAAACCTGTTAGGTACACCTGCGGAAACGCAGTTTCAAGGAAGCTAGACAATAGCGCATAACGAAGCAGTATCAGCGACCAAGGTCACGAAACCGAAACTGGCCAAATAAAATGACCTTCGGATGCATTTAAACCACTAGGGTTATGGTCAAATAATAGCAAATATAATGCATATCAACTATAAATTTATTAAAAAATGTCAAACTAAATGCATTTAGCGGCAAGTAATGCATTAATACCTGAACTGGACATCTGTCCAGTTGATGTCCAGTTTGCCACGTTTAGTGTTACGTTTGTGCTACCAGGGATATGTCCGCTATGATGTATCAACTGCTACGAAACTCACAAACCCCAATTGTTACATATTTCAATATAACAACAATGCGTTTCACATTAAAATACCGAGGCTAAAAATATCGGCACAATAGGAGACTAATTAAGTAGTCCAGGACTGGAGTATCAGTACACTAGAAGTATTTTTAATAAATGGGCTCAGAAATAGTATGCTTATATTTTACAACTTGTAGTGAATAATTTCTAATTTAATTACCAATATTGCGTTAGTGTTATGCATGTTTAAGGCAAATATCGCTGCATGCATTACACACTTGGATGTTACACCATCGATAGGTAGACACATAGGAACGCGAGTTGAATATTGACACTTTAGCAACACAGCGTGCACAGCTGATTGACTGAGCAGTAGTTTGCATTCATTTTGAAGCCGTTTTGCTGCCCATCTCTGTGTTCAGTTTTGCGGCTAACAACATCTAGACAGGACGGCGCAAAGACGCAGAAAAGATAACCCACGCATTATTAACTGACGCACATGCCGACAACCTCGTCAAAAGGGTTAACTTTTATGGTATAACCTCCGCAAATCCAATGCTTTTAACGGACTTGCAACACGGCGAATAAGTAAAATAGAGCATCCATAAAAACTGGCGACCTAACTTTGACTTTTAGCATAACAATGCGCACACTGTGCAATATTGGATATATGGGAATGGATATATTTTTGTCTTATTAATTTACCAAATTTGTAGCAATTCGTTTACAAGCATTCGAATCGGCGGCAAGCGGTTGATAGCTATACAGTACACTAAAACACAGTTTTGAAGGTATACCAGATTAGAATGACAGCGTCCAAAGGTCAATTGTTTCGCTCCAGTCTGACAAATTAATCAACATCGCCATCTTTAAACTACCCTGCTAGGGCTGCCACTACCGGGCAGCTACTTTTTCAATTTGTAAGGAGTGATCGAAACTAGCTTGGCGTGTGGTTGAATTTAAATCGTTCCTATGACGGCACCTTTTTCGTCTGCCTTTCAGAAGGACACCTGCGCAATTATCGAAGAAGGACAAAAACCTGAAGCGAACAGCTGACTAGCCTACGTGTTTTTTTTTTTTTTTTTTTTGTTTTTTTTTTTGTGTTTTGGTTTTGTTTTTTGTTTTTTGTTTTGTTTTTTTTTTTTTTTTTTGTGTTGTTTTTTTTTTTTTTTTTTTTTTTTTTTTTTTTTTTGTTTTGTTGTGGTGTGTGTTTTTTTTTTTTTGTTTTTTTTTTTTTTTTTTTGGTTTTTTTTTTATTTTTTTTGGTTTTTTAATTTTGTTTTTTTGGTTTTTTTATTTTTTTTTTTTTTTTTTTGTTTTTTTTGTGTTTTTTTGTTTTTGTTTTTTTGTTTTTTTGTTTTTTTTTTTTTTTTGTTTTTGTGGTTTTTTTGTTTTTTTTTTTTTTTTGTTTGTTTTTTTTTTTTTTTTTGTTTTTTTTTTGTGTTTTTTTTTTTGTTGTTTTTTTTTTTTTTTTTGTTTTTTTTTTTTGTTTTTTTTTTTTTTTTTTTGTGTTTTGGTTTGATTTTTTTTGGTTTTTTTTTTTTTTTTTTTGTTTTTTTTTTTTTTTTTTGTTTTTTTTTTTTTTTGTTTTTTTTTTTTTTTTTTTTTTTTTTTTTATTTTTTTTTTTTTTTTTTTTTTTTACAAGCATTCGAATCGGCGGCAAGCGGTTGATAGCTATAAAGTACACTAAAACACAGTTTTGAAGGTATACCAGATTAGAATGACAGCGTCCAAAGGTCAATTGTTTCGCTCCAGTCTGACAAATTAATCAACATCGCCATCTTTAAACTACCCTGCCAGGGCTGCCACTACCGGGCAGCTACTTTTTCATTTTGTAAGGAGTGATCGAAACTAGCTTGGCGTGTGGTTGAATTTAAATCGTTTCTATGACGGCACCTTTTTCGTCTGCCTTTCAGAAGGACACTCCTGCGCAATTATCGAAGAAGGACAAAAACCTGAAGCGAACAGTTGACTAGCCTACGTGTTGCGTAATAGACGTTCCGTCTCAATCTCTGGACTTCTCCCTAGTCTGCAAGCTATAATTGGCGACCCTGCCAGGATCAAGCTATAATAGCAAAGCCAGGTAAACCGTCCGGTGATGAAATTTAGCCGCTGACCTCCGATCCAGGGTTAAGGATTGCTTCTCCTTTGGGATCCTTGTCGGACGCTATGCAGAAGATGACAACAAACCTGACATCCGCTCATTCCACACCCCCGTTAACCCTCGGGAAAAATTTTTCAGGCATGCCGTATCTCCGATGGCAGGAACAGGTAAAACTGTACGTTAATGACTTTCCTGCCCAACAACGCGGTACTGTTATCATGGGCCTGCTAGCAGGCGCGTCATTTGACAAAGTTATGGAGAGCAAAGTGTTAGATGGAGAAATCACCGCGGAAAACTTCGCCGCTCTTCGCCGTATCGTAGATCGGCCCGGCCTGCCCGACGAACTGCGCAAAGATTTCCATGCCCGGTAGCAAAGACAGGGAGAAAACATAGAAACATTCGTTCGCGAACTGCGGAGGATGGCCGTAACTGCCTACGCAGACGAAACGTAGGAACAACTGAACGAGCTCGTTTTAGAGCAGTTGCTCGAGGGCAGCCAAACTCCCTAGGTAAAATGGGAGTTTCGTTTACGACGCCCTACGTGTCTTCAGACAGCTCTAACAGTGTCGGATCAACAAGAGCAAGTGGACGCGTCCATGGGCCCCATGGAACCATGCCGCGCGGAAGCGATACAGTCCCGCTAGATGCCAGCCACCAGACCGAAGAAAGTGGAATCGCTTTCCGTATCGGGGGATTACTCGTGACGTCCAGTACAATCGAACGTTTGAAGGCCACGTCCTCCTCCACCAAGCAGAAGTAATATCTCGCCAAGCCATGGCAACCGAAATCGTCAAAGTGAGCGTGACCATTTGAAGTCTGTTTTCATTCCCGCTGGCACATGTACAACGTCCGCATTCGCATTAACAGTAGAGCTAATCATAGCAAGTGTGCCACCGGTAGGTCTAATTGACACAGGGGAATGCAGGAACCTAGTCCGAGCTAAATTAACTAAATCTCTGACAGATTGTGCGTGGACACCATGCCGCTATCGTCTGATCGCTGCTAATGGAAAACCGCTGTCTGTTCGGGAATCTATCGCTGCTCAGGTACATATTACTAATGAGAATTTCCGCCAAGAGTTTATTGCCGCCGATACCATCTCATTTTCAGCAATCATTGGAATGGATTTATTGAAGCTTCTGAGATGTCACTTGGATCTAGACAAATGCCAGTTGATCACCGACAATTGCTTTGTATTGCTCAGACAAGACCAGGTCGACAGTCTTGAAGCGTTCACGGTTTGTGGGAGCTCCTCTGACGAGGAAGACCAGGTAGACACGTTTATCCGCTCACTCGGTTTGCCAACGGACGCGCAAAAGTTAGGAAAGCTCAAAGAAGTGTTGCTAGCGCACTCTGATGCATTCGCCTGGCAGACAGGAGACCTGGGCCGCACCAGCGTCGTGAAACATCTAATCGACGCGGGGAATACGACCCCAATTAAGAATCACCCAAGACGGATCGCAGTGCACTGGCAAGGCGAGCTGCAAAAGCGCATAGGTGACATGTTTAACAAGGAAGTTATACGACCCTCTGCTTCGCCATGGGCATCCCCAGTCATCTTGGTAAAGAAGCATGACGGTGGTTTTAGGCTGTGGGTTGATTATAGGCGGCTAAACGAAGTCACGCGAAAAGATGCATACCCAATGCCCAGAATTAGCGGCATTTTCGACGCGCTCGGAGAATCAGCTTTTTTCAGCACGTTAGATTTAGTGTCTGGTTATTGGCAAGTGTAGGTTGAAGAGTGATCGAGTGAAGGCAGCCTTTGTAGTCCCTTCAGGCCTTTATGAGTTTCAAACAATGCCTTTCGGCCTATCAAACGCTCCTGCAACCTTTCAACACCTTATGCAGAAAGTGCTTCAGGATTTACTTCCTCCCAAGCGTCTCGTCTATCTGGACGATTTCATCGTACATGGGAGAACGAAGTAGGAACATCTAAGCAATCTAGCTGAAGTGTTAACGTGTCTAATCAAGGTAGGTTTGAAACTCCAACCAAAAAATGTCGCTTACTACAAGAAGGTTACCTATCTGGGACACATCATCT